CGCGAGTGAGAGTGAGGATGTTTGTGGATATCCTCACGGCTGTGGTTCAGCCGCAGGAAATACAGCAGTTCCACTTGCATCTGAACACGTTTGATGCGATTAAATTGTGTTTCATAATGTTCATTTAGATTTTCGCCCACACTAAAAATTAGTTAAAAACTACGAGCTTGGTTGCTCTGCAACTGCATTGTCTTTGAACTTGGAATGTTCATGTTGCGTTGCGCAGTTTAAAGCGAAAGGCGGAATGATTATCAGCTGTGAGCAGTGAAGATTCTATGGTCGAGTGAGGATGTGCATGGATATCCTCACTCAAAGCGCGTCATAGGACGTCTCTCGGCCAATCGAAAATAAATAAATGATTCAGCACATTTTAGTGTGGCCTTTTATTGTGGCCATCCTGTGCAATAATCATGCTGTCTATCAGCATCTTGATATGCCACACCTGTGAGGTGGATGGATTATCTCGGCAAAGGAGAAGTGCTCACTAACACAGTTCGGTCAGGGCCACTATCGTCAAATACGATTGACAATTAGCATGCATTTTGGATTGGTGGTATGGTTCTGTTCTGGGCGAGAGCTCCTGAGAAACGAGAGGAACTGGGGAGGGAGGAGGGTAATCAGCTCCTAAGAAACGAGAGGAACTGGGGAGGGAGGAGGGTAATCAGCTCCTGAGAAACGAGAGGAACTGGGGAGGGAGGAGGTTAATCAGCTCCTGAGAAACGAGAGGAGGTGGGGAGGGAGGAGGGTAATTAGCTCCTAAGAAACGAGTGGAGCTGGGGAGGTAGGAGGGTAATGAGCTCTTGAGAAACGAGAGGAGCTGGGGATGGAGGAGGGTAATTAGCTCCTGAGAAACGAGAGGAGCTGGGGATGGAGGAGGGTAATTAGCTCCTGAGAAACGAGAGGAGCTGGGGATGGAGGAGGGTAATTAGCTCCTGATAAACGAGTGGAGCTGGGGATGGAGGAGGGTAATTAGCTCCTGAGAAACGAGAGGAGCTGGGGATGGAGGAGGGTAATGAGCTCCTGATAAACGAGTGGAGCTGGGGATGGAGGAGGGTAATTAGCTCCTGAGAAACGAGAGGAGCTGGGGATGGAGGAGGGTAATGAGCTCCTGAGAAACGCCACAGCTGCTGATAATACTGAAGGAGCTAATCTATGTATACAGTGATAGGCGTCATATTCCTATAGGTGGACGTGGATCAGCTGAGAGTCGGCTGATGCAAGCTTGACTAACGTGACCTGCCAGAACTAACGCTACGCTTGATATTTAGACAGATTTGTGAACAATATTTGAGAGAAATAGGCTTTTTGTGTACATAGAAAAAGTCTTAGATCTTTGAGTTCAGCTCATGAAAAATGGGGGCAAAAACAAGTGTTGCATTTATAATTTTGTTCAGTGTACATATTGATGAACTATACCATCGGCCTATCGTCCAACCCTAGGGGATGAGGTGTGCCTTCCCTCTCTCTCAATTCACTATAATGCCATGTTCATTTGGCTTATGTCATTTGGGATGCACATGGTGCAGCTACTACCTACCTACACAGCACATAGTATACACAATCCATTGTAGTCTCCAATGACTAAAGCCAAATGAAAATGGCATGACAACATTTAAACAAATCACTGTAATTACCCCCAATTTCATAGTAATCACACTCAACTTTGACTTTATGTATTTTAGAAAGTTATGGCTAGGCAGCAGCTATCTGTAGAGGAGAGAAGGAGAAGAAACAGGGAATACCAAAAGAAGCGGAGAGAGAAAATACACAGTGAGGCAGAGTTAAAGGAGGAATACCTCAGAAAGGAAAAAATATTTATCACAGTGCTCAGGATTGTTATTTTTTGGACCAAAGAGTTAAATAAAGTTGTTAAGCAAGAAGCCATTGACTTGAGTGGTATATATTTTGGAATTGTATGTTGTAAAGAGGCCACAGTCACCACCGTCAGATTAATGTCACCACCGTCAGTTCTAAAGTCACCACCGTCAGAGGGAGTTTTATTTGTTTTAAATGAATATGCTTGCAATATGATTCTTCAGTGCTGTTGAGTTATTAAAGTAATAGTCTCTTTTAATACAAAAATATGTTTGTTAAATAAAACATTACTTTTTCTATTTAGGCTTAAAGTAAACGTTGTATGATGTTAGATCTTTTAAAGGAGTACACATGAAACAGTATAAAAAATGAACAAAAGTGAATATTCAACATTTAACAGCATATATGTGTACTAAGAATGCCAGACAATGATTTAAAAACTCTAAATACATATTAGACCAAATAAATAAAAAATAATTTGCTTTTTATTTTGTCTGACGGTGTTGACAAAAACAAAGAAACGCCTATTTTATGAAAAAAATACAAAATGAGGAGGTTGCACCGGTACATTGCTGAACAGCCAAGACCTTGATTTATAATGATATACCTTCAGATTTTGTAATTTAACTAACTTTTTATTTTTAAAATTAAAACCTGTTTTATCCAAATTCCCAAGAATCACTGTATAAAATAAATAAAACTCGCGTGCAAATTAATTAATGTAATGCGGAACTACTGTTAGATACCCGGGTTCTTTAGGGACACATAATCTGTACCATCGGCTTAGCTCTGAACGTGCGTTCACTTCAAACGTTGGCTTTATACACGCGTCCTATTCGCTTTGGACTAGCGTCGAACTAGACGCGATAGACGCGAATTTGACGCTCTATTCGCGTTTGGTGTGACCGTGGCCGCATAATGAACAGGCTGCGATGTCAAGATTGCAATGCTGGAGTGTGTGTGTGTGCGAGAGAGAGAGAGAGAGGCGCGATGAACAGTGGAAACATAAAAAACATACTCCGTCATTTTGTTCATACAGATCATTAAACCTGCAAAGTGTTCACATATTTGTGTACACTCGCAATAAAACACAACATTATGCTTTTGTCACACTGTAAACTCTTGTCAAACTGTAACCTACAACTGTCACCCAACCAAAATCACACACACACACTGTTTTAAAAGCAAAACATATTTATCCAACTCCATTTCAAAACAGTCTGTGGGTCCCATCTTTTGGACATTCATCATATTGCATTGGTTTTCATTTCTTGTCCTCGGAGCACTAATCTTACACATTCTACATTGATTAAAAAAGAAAATCGAATGTGTTTTTAATTATTTTATACAGAAAGCAATTATTTATAATTCAGATGAGAATAATGTTACATTGTTAATTAATAATGTTAATTAAAATTAAGGAAAACAAATATATTGATCTGAAATATAGCAAATTAATTTTAAATTAATTCAGGTACAATTACCAAACATATCGCAAGGTCTTTTTGTCTTTTTATTAATTTAATTAATAAACTAATTATATTAAACTATTGTCAGTGCACTACAAATAAACTGGTTCTATGCCTTTATTAATAAAACTTATTTAAAAAATACAATGCCTTCTGCATTTTTGTTTAGCTTTTCCCTCCATTGTACCGAAATCGTACCGAACCGTGATGTCTGAACCGAGGTATGAACCGAACCGTGACTTCTGTGTACCGTTCCACCCCTAATATATATATATTAGGGCTGGGAAAGTTAACGCGTTAATCTCTGCGATTAATTTGACATGTTTAACGCATTAAAATAAATTAACGCAATTGACGCAAGCCAATCACGTCCATTTTAATAACTTCCTGTTGCGACAGATGACGAGTGTGCTAACTGAGCCAAATCACACTGCATGATGGAGAGCGATAACGGTGGAGTTTTAGATGGAAAGTTTACATTTAAAAAATGTCCTAATGGTGCTTTAGACAGAAAAGTGGTGGTATGTACGGCTGCTCGGTTTCTGACAGGGAAAAGAAAAAGGGACCAAATTACCCCTGTGCTGGCCTCATTACACTGGCTCCCTGTATCTTTTAGAGTGCAGTTTAAAATTTTATTAATAGTTTTTAAATGTTTAATTAATACTGCGCCACCTTATCTTTCGGATATGCTGCACTCCTACGCTCCTGCCAGAGCATTAAGGTCAGCAGATCAGCTTCCTTTTGACTGTCCCTAAAACTAGACTCATCTCCCGAGGGGACAGAGCCTTTTCAGTGGTAGGACCACGGCTCTGGAATAGCCTACCACTTTCTGTTAGATCTGCAGAATCCGTAGACCAATTTAAAAGCAGGCTAAAAACGTACCTGTTTTCCATAGCTTTCAACAATGAATAGGCAGGTTACATTAGCCGTTCCACCACTGTATGTTCTATACTCTATTGTACGTAATGATCTATTCTATTTTATTATTTTGTGATTGTATTCTGACTAACTGATTCCATATGTACAGCACTTTGGTCAACGGAAGTTGTTTTTAAATGTGCTTTATAAATAAATCTGACTTGACTTGACTGACTTGTACAATTTGTAAAGCCGAATTTAAATACCACCGAAGCAATTCGTCTTTACTATACCATTTAAACGCGAAACACCCAGGTGTTATTGCTGCAACTAGCGAGGCTACAGGAGGGTCTCACCAATCCACCTTACTGGAGTACTGTAGGCCTAATCATGGCAGGCCGATGAACAAATCTGTAACTGAAACGTTAACCGATTCTTTAGCTAGATGGATAGCTAGAAACTGCCGGCCAGTTAACACAGTAGATGACAAGGGACTACGAGAAGTAATTCAAATTGCATCAGGAGACACTTCTTACAATCTACCCTCTAGAAGAACGATTGTGTCGAGAATACACGTTTGTATGACAGCGAGAGGGCGCGGAGGATGGACATGCTGGAGAAAGCAACAAACGTCGCGCTCACAGGAGATCACTGGACGTCTGTGAGCAATGACAACTACTTGGGCGTCACAGCACACTTTATAGATGAGGAGTGGAGTTTCCGTTCATTTGCCCTTACTGCGAGTCAAACCACAGAGCGCCACTTTGCGGAGGCATGTGCTGAACATTTTTTGGAAGTCGCCAAATGTTGGAATGTGGAGAGTAAGTTAACAACACTTGGGACTGACAGTGGTCGGAACATGACAGCAGCTGCGAGACTACTACCATTTGAACACCTGCCCTGTACAGCCCACTGTGTGCAAAGAACTGTAACTGTTTCTCTTCACGACTGTGGATTAGATAGTATCTTGGCCAAATGTCGCAAAATTGTTGGGCACTTTAAGCACAGTCCATCAAATGCTCAGGAATTAGGAGAACAGTAAGTTGCACATGGACAGAAGCAAGAACCGCTTGTACAGGACGTCCCAACCAGGTGGAATTCTACCTTAGAGATGGTCAGGCGGATCCTGCGAAACAGATTGCCACTGTCCACTACTCTGTCTCAGCAGAACAGCAAAATTGCCATGTTGACATCGCAGGAGCTTGCTAAACTGCAAAAGGTTGAAGAACTACTTGAACCTTGCAGGTTAGTATATTTCTCTCTCTAGTGTTTGTCTCTCTATACCTGTGTTTCCTCTCTTCCTGTGTTTGTCATGCGTTTTCTGTATGTGTGCATGCGTGTAGAGGTAAGTGGTGCTTTTTGTTCTGTTTTGTGTGTGTGTGTGTGTGTGTGTGTGTGTGTGTGTGTGTGTGTGCGCGTGCGTGCGTGTTCGAACATGACGTGAAATATCCGTAATCGAACTATAAATAAACTATCCGGTTTTTAAAGTGCCATGTGTAGCGCGTTTTTTACAGTCTATGATTAGACCGTTTGTTTTTTATTTTATTGTTTGCCATCTCATTCAGGAGCGGGCGCTCTAAACATATTGTAGCGTCTGCCCATGACCAAATCAAGCGAATAATAGCAATAGCCTCCCCGTTTTGAAAATGGAATTAATAGATTAAGTTGATAGTCTGCTGTTTGAAACATTACGTCAAACATTTGTTTTTCAGACAGGCTATGGCCTGAGTCCTTTTTATGACAGTCAGACTGTTAATGCATTTGTGATTGAATCTCCGTTACGTTCTTTTTTCGTAGATATTCAAATACATTGCTTGATATTTGATATCCGTTCGAATTAGATTTTTCTCAAAAGTGACAGCCCTAGTGTGTTTCATACCCCTCTAATTGTCTCTGTGTGTTCTGACTTTTTGTGTGTGCCACTGTATAATTAATAACAATTTACTGACATAATAACATTTTGTGCTTTCCTCTGCAGAAATGTGACCAAACTCCTAGGGGGCGAGCAGTACATTTCTTGTTCAGTGGTGTTACCAGCATTTTGCCACTTGTTCCGGGTTATGGAGCCATCAGACGATGATCCAGTCTATGTGGTGAGGTTCAAGAAGGTGTTTACCACAGACCTAGCTAAAAGGAAGGAAAGCACCAACCTCACATGGCTGAAGATCGCTACTGCTCTGGACCCCAGATTTAAAGACCTGAAGTGTCTTCCCAAAGACGAAAGGCATGAGGTGTGGACCTCAATAAGCAGCCTGGTAAAGGAGGAGAGGCTGGCACAACAACCTTCAACAGAGACAACAGGAAAACAGCCACCAAAGAAGACCAGGATGTCTGAGTTCTTGCTTTGTTCATCTGATTCAGATTCAGATGATGAAGAGTCTATAGACAAATGTCTGAAACGCTACAAATCAGAGCCTAAAATCAACATGGACCAGTGTCCACTGCAGTGGTGGTCATCAAGAGAAAGAGCACATGTTCTGATGGCACGCATAGCACGCAAGTACCTGTCCACACCTGCAACCACAGTACCTTGTGAGAGGTTGTTCTCACTCTCAGGCCACATCGTCCAAAAGAAGAGAGCTTCCTTGTCTCCTGATAATGTAAACAAACTGGTCTGTCTTAGTTGCTGGCTCAATGCAAAAGAGTAGGCAAAATGTTGTGGTAAAATATGTAACATTCTCCTTGTGTCATTCGTACTGCTAAGGCTGTTAACATATTTGGTGCATAAAAAAAATATTTTTGCTTGGATTAAGTTCTAACCATTTTGATGATCTTGTTAGTTTAAACTTACACTTTAACATTTTGTTTAAATATATTGTTGGTGGATATGAAGAAATTGCTTTTGGCTTATTGCCTTACTTTATAAGATGATTCAGGAGTTCTGATCAAATTCAACTTACACTTATACACTTTGTTTTATAATGTTGCACTTTATGGGAATTACCCATACTAGTTCCCAGGAGAGACTGTCTACAGTTCATAAGATCATTGTAATAAAATGTTCTGTTTAAAATATACTTTATTGTGTAAATGTATCATTTTTTAACTTATAAGTATTGATAAAAAGCTTTGGGAAAAAAATGCGATTAATTGCGATTAATCACAGCAAGTTGTGCGATTAATTAGTTAATTTTTTCTAATAAATTCCCAGCCCTAATATATATATATATATATCGGCTTTATATCGGCCACCCTGCTCTCTAAGATATCGGCATCAGCATCGGCCATCAAAAAAACAATATCAGTCGACCACTACTTTTATTTTATATATAAACATTGTTCAATTACCACTGCAAATCTCACCTAAATGTTTGCTCAATCAGTGCTTGTTATAGCTTGTTTTTAATATATTTTATAATGTAATAATTTCACAGCTAATCTCCAAATTAATGTAGAAACAACATAAAGACAGTATATTTTAAATGATTTTTTAATGGCATATTTTTATGAATGAAGGCTGGTATCACTGATACCAATGATATCAAATGTCTTCAATTATTTATTTATTTTCTATTTTAAACATTAATTATTGCCATTCAACATTACAGTATAATTGAAAGCTATCAATTTTAACATTTATTAGGCTCCTAAAAAATAACAACTTTTAATTTAAGTGAACTTAAAATTAAGACTTAAAAATCTTCACATAAGCCCATATTAAATGGGATATTTACCTGTGCCCTTTTTCTCACAACTCTTTACATTCATTTAAGACTTTATTTAACTAATTTAAGACTGCTCTTACTCAACGAAACGGAAATTTTGGCATAATTGTGTTATTATTGGTTCAAGCGTGAAAGTGAAGTCTATTCTGGTGCCTGTTGTTCTGTGCGTTGTGTGTGTCACCAGGAAATACACATACAGCGCGTTCTCTTTTGTCATGTCGTGCTTGAATGGTTTAAAAGCATTTGCATGAAGAGGAACGTGATCATATAATGTAACCCTAGCCAAAGGATGACAGAAAAAAACGGATGCTGTTGACAGCACGGACCTAACCGATGTGCTTCTGTGAATGCGCGGCAATACAGACTTTGTGACAATATTTTTGTGTGTATTTGCCCCGTAAGCGCAACAAGCCATGAAAAAGAGGCAGCTTTATGTGTACGCACTGGGAATTAAATCATACGCAACCCCCGCAATTCAACGCCGAAAAATTACGTTTTGCATTTTTTTTATTAATTTGTGAGTTATTTGTTGTTATTAGAGACATCCGAGATTGATGGTACATAATATACAATGTTTTTTTATACATTTTTAGCAACTTTCGATGGAGTTTTTACATGACACGACACCTTCGTCCTCCTCTGCCTCAAAATCATGGTGATGTTTGGCGAACTTTGCATATATCGCAGAGCATCAAGCATATTTCGCGTTCGTCCATCTGTGCAAGAGAAACCCTTTAAGCATGCACGATGTTTCAGATAGTATGGCAAGTGTAAACACATGAATCGGATACAGTTAAAAGAACTTGTAAACGGACGGTCAAAAAATCGAATAAAGGTAACAAATCAGAATTGGGCATCAAGACCTGCAGTGTAAACGAGGCCTTATTTTCAGAATAATAACAATTTAACTTTTTTAATTAATTTAAACTAATTATTAGGCTATAATTGTTACCACTCTCCGTGTCTCCCCTGGCATGCTCTGGCGCCCCCCTGGGGAGGCGCGCCCCACACTTTGAAAACCCCTGCCCTAAAATAACAGCGATTTCAATCTATTGAGTACTCCTGCCCTGAGAGCATCACGTAATACACTAAAATAACAGCGATTTTAATCAATTGAGTACTCCTGCCCTGAGAACAGCGCGTAATACACAAAAAATAACGGCGATTTGAATCTATTGAGTACTCCTGCCCTGAGAGCAGCGCGTAATACACTTAAAATAACAGCGATTTGAATCTATTGAGTACTCCTGCCCTGAGAGCAGCACGTAATACACTAAAATAACAGCGATTTGAACCTATTGTGCATTCCTGCCCTGAGAGCAGCGCGTAATACACTAAAATAACAGCGATTTCAATCTACTGAGCACTCCTGCCCCGAGGGCAGCACATATTAATACACTAAAATAACAGCGTTTTGAATCTATTGAGCACTCCTGCCCTGAGAGCAGCACGTAATACACTAAAATAACAGCGTTTTGAATCTATTGAGTACTCCTTCCCTGAGAGCAGCGCGTAATACCCCAAGGTAACACTTTATTCCAATAGTCCACTTTAGACATTCTACTAACTAGAAGTAACTTTGCAGCTACATGTCAACTAACTGTCATTAGAGTATTAGTAGACTGTCTGCTTAAGGCGAGACACTACAGGTGAATAGGGTAAAATTTTTAAATAATAGATATCACCATGAAACTTCCTCAGTTGATTACTTGTATATAAAAAAAATTATTACAAGTTTTTGAAATTTGTATGTTTAATTATAGAAATTAGGCATTATCTCATTAAATATGCGCGATTTTGCATATATTTTCGGTAGATAGATCTGAACATAATGATGCGATCTGGGAAAACCCGTCGGATGTCGCGCTGGAACATTTTCAGTAAGGTCTAAAAATAGATCGAATGTCAGTTTTTTGTCAAAATTGGGTTTTCAATAAATTATTATTCTATAACATCTCGTTTATCATCTCTGAATATATCTTGGGAAAATTCACTAGTTTAGTGCAGAAAAATAGCGATTTATAGTGGCAAGCTGAAAACACTGTCTTTCTCTTTATGAACACGCACGGCGGAGCAGAGGGGCAAAAAAACGTACTCGGTTACTAACGTAACCTCGGTTCTCTCTAGAGAGGGAACGAGTACTGCGTAATAGCTTACGCTAGGGGAAAACTCTTTTCCACGAGATATTGAAGCCAAAAATTATCCTTAATTTTTTATTAATGTAAAACGCTTTGCAGCAGCAAGCAGACATAGGCGAAACAGCTCGCGCGCCTATTGGTTGCTCTGCAGCAAATGCAGCAGCCTATCGAGAGAGACTCTGCGTGACGTAATGACCAATGGGGGCAATTTTCCCGCCAGAAGGGGCGTGGTCTCACCCTATAAATATGCTCGTTAGGCTGGTACAAGCTGGTTTTTATCGCTGAAGCGAACCAGAGCGTATTCCAAGCACGGCAAGATACGCAGTACTCGTTCCCTCTCTAGAGAGAACCGAGGTTACGTTAGTAACCGAGTACGTTCTCTTACGAGAGTATCTCTCGTACTGCGTAATAGCTTACGCTAGGGGAACACAATGCAACACGCCGTGCGTACAGGGATCCAACACCAAAGTCCCGGGGGCCGAAGCCCAGGGCTCATGTAGTGCATAATCACCATAAACTCACATAGAGTGGAGGAAGAGAGGCTGGAAGCGTCATTCCCTATAAAAAAAGCACCCAGCGGGGCTATCATATGACAATAAAACGCGCAGCCAGGGTGAAAGCTTTCAGCCTGATCTGGGTGGCCATACGTGTGTCAACACTCATGGCGCTGCAGTAAACTCAGCATCTGGGCCGCACAGCGGGGCAGATAGCACTGAATTTTAGACCGCCAAAAGCTTAGCTTGTAAGGCGGGTACCTCCAGGTTATAGTATTTTATAAATGTAGACGGCGAGGCCCAGCCCGCGGCCGTACAGATATCTTGCAGGGAAACCCCGCTCGACCACGCCCACGAAGAGGCCACGCCTCTCGTGGAGTGCGCTCTGACACCCAAGGGGCACTGCAGGCCCTTCGCAGAGTAAGCGAGCGCAATGGCATCCACTATCCATCTGGATAGGCTCTGTTTTGAGGCGGCGAGTCCCTTGGAACGCCCGCCAAACAAAACAAAAAGCTGCTCCGTCTGTCTGAAAACAGACGAGCGTGACACATAAGCTCTAAATGCCCTGACGGGGCAAAGAGACTCGCATCCTCCTCCTCACTGAGAACCGGAAGGGCGGACAGGGAAATTACCTGGGCCCTGAACGGTGTATTGAGGGATTTCGGGACATACCCGTGCTTTGGTTTGAGAATGACCTTCGAGTCATTAGGCCCAAACTCCATACACGACGCGCTTACTGAAAGCGCCTGTAAGTCCCCTATGCGCTTCACTGAAGCGAGAGCCATGAGAAACACTGTTTTGAACGACAGGTGTTTCATGTCCACCAGCTGGATTGGCTCGAACGGGGCGCCTTTCATGGCCTCCAGGACCGTGGAAAGGTCCCACGTCGGGACTGAAGGGGGCCTGGGAGGGTTCAGCCTCCGAGCTCCCCTAAGGAAACGCACGACTAAGTCGTTTTTCCCCAGCGACTGGCCAGACACCGGTTTTGCAAACGTTGCTATGGCCGCCACATATACTTTGAGCGTGGATGGGGTCCTGCCCTTATCCAGTAGCTTTTGAAGGAAGGAAAGCACTTCCGAAACCCCGCATTCCACAGGTGAAAAGCTCTGGGCTTGACACCATGCAGAGAAAACAGACCATTTCGAGGAGTAGAGCCGCCTGGTAGACGAAGCTCTAGCCTGCGCGATCGTGTTTAACACTCCTTCTGGGAGGCTAGCGGGTACCCGTTGATGGCCCATGCGTGCAGGGACCACAACTCCGGGCGAGGGTGCCAAATCGAGCCCTCCGCCTGAGAGAGGAGGTCTCTCCTCAATGGTACAGGCCATGGGGCAGTGCTGGTCAGCTGCATCAGGGCAGGGAACCACGTCTGGTTTGTCCAGAGCGTAGCTACGA